CTTTTTACACGGAACCAGGACATGACCTATGACTGCATTATGAATTGGTTAATAAGAATTTGTACTGTAAAGTAGAATTCCCTTCCTGAGAGTAGTTCATGACAGTCACCATTTTTACATAGCTACTTTATGAAAATGTAAATAAACTCTCCAAGTCTACAAGTCCATACCCATAATTCCTGGCCATGCTAAATCCTCATTGTCATCTCTTTCCTTTCCAGGGGCTAAATGGTTAAATCTGTCCAGATGTTCTAGCAATCCAGCCAACAGAGGGATAGCACCAGCTTCCTGCATTAATCCAGCATTTTTACTGAGCAGTAGCACTATAGAAACCACCAATTCTGGAAGAAGAATGCCTAAAACAGAAAACACAGAAGATACTCAGATTTAATTGAAGACTCACGTTTATAAGCATCACGGAAATAAATCACCAAGCAATATATTCTGCATTGTATTACTGCTTTAGTACAAAGCTCTTTCCTTCCTCATCAAATTTGCACTTCTCCTCTCCCATCACTCAAGAGATTAAACTGACTCATTTTTAGCCATTTAGAACTTTTAGGAACATATGCAAGATTACTTTATAATTTTGTGGAAGGGGAGGAAAGGAGGGCAGCAAAGAAAAACTTACCAGTTAAATCTCCATCCACGACACGAGATACTTCTGCAAAATGCCTATGGCTAGTAGAAGCAATGCTGGTTGCCACAGGAAGTATATCACCAATGTGAGTGCACAGAAGAGCAGTGTATTTCTTCAGTAACGAGCCAACACCTAAGAGGTCAGGACCTGTATGAAAAGAAAGAACAGCACAGAAACCATCACATAGTAATAAGAAACAGATTTTAAAAACTGTGAAACAGTTCTGAAAAGCAGCCATTCAGTATTAGCACTGAATTAAAGAAACCATATCTTTTCAAAACCTTTTAGAAGTTTATAAATACTCTCTAGATCCTGTTATCTTCCATGAAGAATTTTTCTTTTACAGAAAAGAAATTAAGGAAACTACTTTCAAACACTTTCCAGACAGACTCAGCAATAGGCTGATAAATGAGACAAAAAGATAAATTAAAATAGGAACCTGCTATTCTATAAAAGAAGTATTACAGAAATGGGGGGAGTGGAGGGCTGTTTATTGTTTTTACAATAACTTACTGTATATATTAGGGACCTGCCCAACACAATCCCCTGGGTAAAGTTTGCTAACAAGTAGGCGCTGAAAACGGAGCAATAGATCCAGTGAAGCAGATCTCTCTTTGCTGCAATGTTCATGGTCCAGGCAGGAGGAAATGCGCCGAGCCACATCCTTCAGTTTGGCTATCGTCTGCGAAGCGATGTTCCTAACAGGCACAGAACGAACGCTTGTAAAGGAGTGGACCGTGAAGACAGTCCACAGAAACATGGGTTGAGCTTTTGCTAGAATCTGACACAAACGTTTAAGGAACCTCTGCAAAGTTTCTTTGGAGGATGTTCCCTTGTTTGCACCACAGTACCCAAAAAGTCAGTGTTTTCTGTGGAGGCATTCTATTCAACAGAGTTTGTAAAACACATCAAATTTGTATTTTTTTGTCATCACGCACTACAAAAACCAATCTGATAATCTTCACTGAAAGGCTTTAGCATCACACTTAAGGGAAAAAGCATAATAAATTTCTTAGCAATCTTATAATCACTACTTCCTGCTACATGTTAAATGCTGATGTAGCTGACAAAGAAGATTTGTTCTCAGCACCCTCTTGGTGACGCATTCACAACTCTCTCTCAGTGTCAAGAATTTAAATTTCAGATTTCTCCACTTACAACCCCAGCTACAGCCTCCTCGAGGTAAAATACTCAGTTCCAAATAAATAGTGCAAAATATTCAGTTCAAAACAAATTTGTGCTGATCCTCACACTTTTTTCAGGACAGGATTTAAAAGTTTGTCCTGTATTTGTTACAGATTTTCCGAGTACAGGAAAAACTATCAAAATCCATAAAAGCAAAGTAGTAAGTCTTCCTAAAAATCAGCGAATTCTGTACAGAACCTTGCTCCTTTAGCAAACATAAAACAGCAAAACAGTAGAAAAGCTTGGAGAATTGTTCAGTATTTTCAACTCTGAGGAGCTAAAATGCTAGTAGGACGACTAATTTTGGTTAGCTGATTTTAGTTCATAAAACATCTGCAGAGATCTCCTGTACAAAAATAAAAATTGAAGAAATCACCTTAGTAACTGCTGAATTAACTGAACTAATGGTAAACTTTGTTTTCCTGCAGATTCATAGATTCCAGTATTAATAAGGTCTTTGTCCAACGGAGTCCTGCTCCTATGAAGAGTTGATGCATTTGCTTCTTGTTCATCAATTTCTTTTTCTTTCTGTGCTTCTTTTTTTGCTTCAATATCCTAAAAAAGTAAACCAAACTATAGAAAATGCACAAATTGCCACTGTCATTATGAAATATTTTCCTAACAAGTATTCACGGTAACAAGATCGAGTTACTTTTACCTATATCAGAAATTAGACAATTCCTACCACACAAATGTGTAGTGTATATTTCATAACAACCACATGGGCACATTTGTTTTTTTAAAACACTATAAAAAGAAGGTTTGAAGGGGTGGAGTGGTGGTGAAGGTAAACAAGGGTAGGCAAACTCCAGATTCAATTTGCACCAAACCAAGTTAACAACTGAATTCTGTTCTATGTACGTTGAAGCATGCCAGCAGCTGCTACGCAGCTGACAACTGAAGGCACACTTACACTGTATTTACAGCAGTAACAAATTCAGTCCACTGCAGAAGAACCTGGGTCAGCTGCTGAGCTACAATCGTACAGAACTCTATGGAAATGAATTCACCCAGGTTTTAGATGATGTAAATTAACCTGTGCAGTGCTGTATGCTGCCACAACCTAGATCACTTTCAGCGTGTATCTGAAGTTGGCTCTGGCATCTCTGACCTAGGCTGTAACATAAATGTGCCCTAGGACACTTGGGTAAGAATCAAGAGGTCCTGCATATCTTTAAATATCACAGAAAATTCTAATGCCAGACTACGCATTAAAGCAAAACTTCATACATGCTATTCCTCTGCATCATAAATCTCACCATTTAGCAACAATGGAAAGAAATCAAGAAGAAAATCTACTTGGTAGAATAAAACAAAGAGGCAAGGGAAAACCACGTTTTTGTTTTCACAACCATAGAAAAATATAGCCATTTAAAGCAGTCTGTGCAGAGATCTTTGAGGCTAATGGAGAAAACACTATATACGGAATCTTTCCTTCATCCTTCGTATAACTAGTCAGCATCTGTTTGAACCAATCTGAAATGGAACCTATGGAAATTTGGGATGCTGCAAAGAATTCATTCATCAGGAATTTGTAAGTAGTAAGGCTGAAATGCCTGCTGCAGAGATACAGGTGATATCAAGGAAGTGAAGAACTCATGAATCCCACAGAAAAGTACAAAGTGCTCTGTAAAATTATGCTCCTATTACAGAGAGCTTCATGAAAAAGTTTTGTTCCTGGTGCCAAAATTACTCCAGGCAATGAAAAGAAACATTCTACTACAAACAAGAACATGATTCAAGCTTCCATACAAACTCTGGCTTGAGTTTCAGGTCAAAGAGGAAACATCGATCCACACACTTCAAAAAACACTTGATAAACCTTCTCACTCTGTTTACACAGACCCATGAAGCTGCTGAAACATACCTGTATTTCTGCAGTAATAGCAGCATTTAGTGCAGACTCTAAGCCTCCATCAGCCATCAAGCTGCCCACCAAGAGGTCAATCATAAACCTACGGCCTGGGCTCACGTTCATTTCATTTCCTGAAACTAAGAACAGAAGCAGCTCATTAATATGAACCAGAAATGCAAGCACAAAACAAATATGTTTAAATCTTGGGACCAACCTGCACTGGGTAAGAGTGCTGAGAGAGCTCTAGCCCGCTCTTCTGCTGTTGGCAGTAGCACAGACCATCCACTCTGCAGCACTGCTTGAGCAGCCGACTGCACAGTATTAAGAACACCCGCGTTGCTGGCCAAAGTTACCACCGTCTGTTTCAGGCTGTTGAGCAGGATACTGCCCAAACCTAAGCCAAGGCATTCTGGGTCCACCTGATGACTAATGGCAGCGTGAAGCTGGAAGAAAAAAAAAAAAAAAAAGGAAAAAACAAAGGCAAATTTTAATGAAAAAGCTATGTGAACTTGAAGGGGGAAAAAAAAAATTAAAAAGCCAGACCTCGAGGACTCAAGTTCACTGACCAAGACACAGGTCCCACATCTTCAATGACTAACACATACCTTCTAAAGAGGACATTCGCTCTTAAAAATGCTCTTTAAAATTTTTAGAAATGCTCAAAATCTCAGTGTATGAGCTTACTGAGTGAGTATACAAGGCTTAAATCAATTTACATTTTTGGTTGTAGTTAATTTGTAATTGCATCCAAAAGATGTTGAGAAGAAAAAAAAACTACTAGCTGCTAAATTTCAGAGAGTAGAAAGTGATAACTGTACATATTTCACTTCTTAAATCGACAGAAATGTTTTAAAGCATGTAAGTCCACTATTTTCATCCCAACAGTTTACTCCAACATTTAGTTCAATGACTACTCCAAGTGTAGGAAATGGAGGGTACCTGAAGCCTTAGAAGGTTTAACGTTGCCACAGCCATACACTCCTTTTCCTGAGGTGGGGGCCAGTCAGAGGAGCCATCCATCCCCTCTGTCACTTGTCTTAGTAACAGATCCAGCTGCTCAAATGTCATAGGGCAAATATCCACCACAAAAGGCACCCGCAAGCCTATTGACCATTCTGAACATGATGACCATGCAAAACTCTATAAATAGAAACAATATACAAAGTTCAACAGTTATTTCCGAAATAGGAGATGGCATTCATTAGAGACAGGAGTGTAAAGCTAATAACTGCCTTCAAACAGTAACAGAAGATGCAGAAATAACATCAGCACATCTGTTGAAGAGAACCCTCCACTAGTGTCCTTTTACTCATACATAAAATCCTACTAATCCCAGAAAAGAACACTCTTATCACATTTCCCAAAGCCCTGTTACGCCAGTCAGATACCTCACTTTCTTTGCTGTAGGAAACATCGTGCTTGACAACTCTTCAACTGCTGTACCAGACTAAAACCAAAACAGGTAAATATTCTCAGAATACCCAACAGAGGGAAAGCTAGTCATCCCTTTTTGGCAGAGGAGCTGCACGAGATTTGTTTTTCCAAGCCTTCATTCAGAATAAGAAATAAGAATGAGAAAAGTCATGTAAGGACAGAAAGAGGGACTGCAGTTAGTGTACAGAATTAGTCTCAGTGAGAGGCAAAGACAAATCATAATTAACAATTCAAAAATAAATGTTACCTGAGCAGGTCCACAAGCAATTCCCACAATATGCTTCGTGTCCAACCCTGGGAGAGCTGCAGGCTCTGGCTTGGTGATCCGCAAAGTATCAAAATGTTGGCACTGATCGTTGCTTCCCCAGCTGTGCACTTCACTATCTTCAGTCAGTGCTAAGCAATGGGTAGATCCAGCTGCTACATCTATCACTTTTTTTCCTGATAGGAAAGTCAAATATTGAAAATGTAACATGAAGATTACAATCATTAACAGAAAAATATCAGAGGTAAGGAAAACTGTACTCATTACAATCATACTTAACTATGAACATAAGTATGTCAAGAGTCTCACCTTTGCCTTAGTAGTGGTTTGGAAGAGTACAGCAAAAGAAAAACCAAGGAAATATTTAAAGATTCTCAACAGACAGCTTAAGTACAGACATTTATAAGTTTAAAAAAATCCTTTATTTTGTAACCCTTCTACCTTAGGCACTTTTTCAGCTAAGTTTTACTAAAAGATCTCCCTATCTAAGAACAGAGACTATGAAGTTACATTGTAGTCCTAAGTTCAGAAGTTATTTTCAGTTAGATCATTCATCATATATTAATAACAATTTTAGGAAAGACAGAGCAATTAAAGCAGTTTCTTCCTTATCCTCTCCTACAGAACCTCAGATTTCTCACAACTGCAAGAAATAATTTTCACTCTGTTATAAACTAGTCCAAAGTACTGGCACAAACACAACTTTAACGACGTTACTTGTTGCCTGTGACTTTCATTTGTTCCATTCATATGCCTTCATCTCAGACTATACTATATACATTTATTTGCATGACAATGCAAAAACACCTCAGTGTCTCTCTGAGCTTAATAAAAGAAACACAGCAAGTAAAGAAAAATACAAGGGAAGCAGCATTTAAAGTAGTTATAACCTGGCATCTCTAAACCTACTAGACATTTAAAGCTCTAAATGCAGAAGTGATGGCTCATTCCAGTTAGACACTGGAATAGGCTGCCCAGGGAGGTGGTGGAGTCATCATCCCTGGAGGTGTTCAAAAAACGAGTAGATATAGCACTTGAGGCTATGGCCTAGTGGTTAGGGAAATGTTGGGAGGAAGGTTGGGCTTGATGATCCTAGAGGTCCTTTCTGACCATGGCGATTCTGTGATTCTATGATTCTGAATGTGGACTATTACCTTTTTCAATGCAATAAGCATATAATGTGACAGAGCACATGGTGCTGTCATTCTTCAAAGTTGAGATCATGAAGCACCCAGTAAAAGATTCAAACAACAGCAAAAAGAACTCTTGAGTACTTCCAGCTCTGATAATTACCTTTCAAGCCTTCCAGCAGCTTGGGATATCGAACATGCTCTTCAGTTCCATGCCCAAGTCTCTGATTGTCACCTTTTCCCCAGGTGTAGACCTGGCCATCTTTGGTTAAAGCAATAGAAAACTGACTCCCACAGCGTACTTTCACAATGTCCAGATCTTGAAGTTTTTCTATCAACTTGGGAGTCTTGCAACCATCACTGCCTCCTCTTCCCAGTTTTCCATAATCTCCATCTCCCCAAGACCACACTTGGCCTTTAAACCAAGAGAAAGAATACAAAAAATTACTGCATTGGTTTTTCATGTAATGAAGTTAACTGTTTTGACAAGCAAGTTCTGAAAAGTTTGTGATTCTATAGTAAAGACAATTTTCAAATTGTTATTTAAGAGTATCAGTTATCAATTAATTTCTAATTATTCATGAAAATAAGACACTAATAATAAGCCATTAAACTACATTCAGACATGTAATATATTGTCCACATACTATACATTTTCATGAGTATTTTATATATATATATACACACTACAAAAGGAAATCTGTATTTGCATCTTCATAATATATTGCCTATCTGTGCAGAATATATTGCCAATCTATGCATGGAAATATATCTGCATACATTATATACAAAACATAAAAATCTACATACATACTACCCCAAAAGGAACTTCAAAAATTCCAAATGGAATTTCAGCTTCAAACTCTTACAGAATTCAAGCCACTAGAAAGAAGCATATCTGCAGTATAAATACCTTCAGAATGAAAGGAAGAAAAGGTAAGCTCATTTGAAGTTATATTTTGCTACTAACCATTTTCAGTAACTGCAAGGGTCTGAGCATCTCCACTCCCACAGGACACATCAATAACTTTGAGTCCTTTCAGCCCTGTGACCAGCACTGGGATGGTCTGATCTTCACTGGAACCTTCAAAACAAAGTAGCTCTGTGAGAACGTAAACCAAGAAGGCCTGGTAGGTTCTTTTATTTGCTCTTTTTGTTTGTTTCTTTGCTTGCTTTTGGGTGTTTTGTTGGGGTGGGGGGAGAAGAGGGAAGGGGCAGGGGTGGTTTGGTTTTGTTTTCAGATTTCAACATCTTGACTCAGCTCCCATATGGTTTCATAGGTAACTAATATGGATTCAGACCATGACACGGTTTCACAAAGAAGGGAACAAAGATCAGTGTACATTTTCCTTCTCCATCCAATTCCTTATTTTCACAAAACTCATAGAAATTCAGTGGTTTTGAGACAAACCCTCCCATAACTCCCTTAATTTGTGTGAAATCACATATGGTTCTCAAATCAGCTTTAGGTAACTCAGATTAAAATATATATTTGAGACAGGAATTAAACAATTCTCTGACAAACAACTTACTTTAAGGTATCAAGTGACCTACCATGCCCAAGCCTGCCATAGTTTCCTCGTCCCCATGTATACAGCTCTCCTTCAGCAGTAATGGCTGCACTGTAGGTGCTTCCACATGCAATATGAACAACATGTTTCCCAGCTTGCTTTCCACTTAAAGCAGATATCATCTTAGGTTCCTCCAGAGGTCTATTTAAAGAGAAGGTGACATATTTCACAAAAGGTGATCTAATGAGTAGATAACAAAAGGTGTGACATACTTGTCAGAAGTAACTGCTGTAATTCTACCTGAAAATCTTATTACCAGTCTGAATTATCAAGATACAAATAGAGCTATAAGTCAAAAAATTAAGTTCACATTGTTCAACATCATACAAACCACTGAAGGAATGCCTGATAACTATGATTTCTATTTCAAACTGAATTAATACAGTGTTTTTAATAAATATTTGTCTATTATTAAAAAAAACACCTTAATTACTATATTTGGACAACTTCATTATACCGCTAAACCTCATGTAGCAATTCCCTTGCTTTATAGCAAATACAACACCGGGGGAAGACACTGAAAACCTCTAAAATATATTGATGTAAACCCCACACACAACATCCCTGTGGAAGACTGCTCCTACGCAAAAGCAGGACAGTAATGTCACTGTTTAACACAGAGGAAAAAAAGGAAAGGCATATACAGCATGACTGCATAGGAAATGATCACTCCACTCTGATACCTGAGTCAATGTTTCTAGAAAAAAATGTGTTGTGGATTCATAAAATCATGAATAAAAGCCCTGGTAACAGTGCAACTGCTACTATACCCTCTATCTACAAGTATTTCAGAAAGTAGCATTAATACAGAATGCTGGGAATATTACAGGCAGAGGAAGCATGCAACTTCTGTTCAGTAACAGAGACAAATGCCAAATGCTGAACATACTTTGAATACACAATTAAATATCTTTTTTTTATTGTGAATTTAGAACATCAGCAAATAAATGATTATTTTATTACATACACTGTATCCCCATGGCCTAGTCTTCCACCATCTCCACAGCCCCAAGAGAAAACTTCACCATTTGCTGACAAAGCAAGGTAGTGATGTCCATCTGAATGTGCTGCTATCTTCACGATATTTCTGGAAGCTAGACTCTGCACCAGCTGTGGTCCCTGTGAATCAAACAGAAGCAGTACACTTACAAAAACTGCTTATCGTTTTCCATCACTTGTTTTATATAGAGAATAACTACGTACAGTTTTCCTAAGGATCTATCAAAACTGTGCACTCAAATTAATGAGGTGAAGGGCTAAAGAAGGAAAAAGGTCAAATCTACTATCAAGTCTGACAAAAACAATTATATGAAGTTCTTTTGTTACCATCCTTATAAGGTCTGTATGAAAATTGTGTTTATCTTAATCTTACAATAAGTCTTAGTGTCAAATGTTCCTGTTGTAGTATAGTTTTGTTTGAGAAAAAGTCATTTGGTCACAGTGCTGCATCACTGGAGTAAAATCTGTCAATTTATAAATTTGCTACCAAGGCCAGCATACCAATGAAAGCAATTATCACTGTACTCAGAACCTCTGGCCTGACAGAAATTAGAGAAACCAGAGGCATTTCATCAAATCAACAAGACAGATCAAAGCCACTCTTTCTTAAAGTTCAAAAACAAAGAAGCTCACAAAAACCATCTCCACCTACTCTTCCAAGATACCATAAATAAAGGAGCAGACCTATGCTATGAAGGGATATAGAACAGAACATATTTTTTAAAACATGTGAAATAAACCCTTACCAGAGTGTCGCTGTTGTATGCCTGTGTGTAAACTCGTCCGTTCCTGGACAGTATCAGAAAACGTTTCTCTGCACAGGCAACCTGCACCACGCCAAGAGTGGCAAGTCCTTCACACTGCACTGGACCACTCACATTAGCATAATACTTCCAACCTATTAACCCCCAGGCGATGACCTCTTGCAGAGACCCCTAGAAAATAAGAAATTCTCTAAGTACTAATTTTGAAATATGCAACTCAATAAAATGTATAGAGCAGATTTTTTTTTTAAACCTTTTATGCCAAATATACTCAAATCTGTGACAGTCATTACTGCCAGTAGTCAACAAAGTTTACCTACCTATCAGAAGATAACAAAAATAAAGGCTTGCTTGCATCATATTCAGTTTAGTCTGACACTGAATAAGCTATAAATATCTACAGCAAGTGTTCAGAGATTTTTTCAAGGTCAGAAGTTTAACATTTACCTTATTTCTTTCCCTTTTTTCTAATACATCAAACTCCCAACATTCATAAATTCTGGTTTTGAGCATTTACTCTGATAAACAAAGGGAACAACTCAAAATACATCAGAACAAGCCATAGCATTGTGCTAAGAAAGAATGGTTCACAAACCATAGAGTTGTACTCCCAGGCAGACCAGTAAGAGTGCTGATGTAATGAAAGATACCCAAGTAAGACAAGTTCAGGCAACTCAAGGTTACCTTGTGAAAATCAAAAGGAAATTTAGAGAATCTTAGTTGCTGTTTTCCTTCCAGATTGAAAATCAGTTACATTTACAGGAAAAATATCTGACTAGCTTTGGTGCTGCAGACAGTTACCTTATGAGATGTAGGAGAGCTACACTGTGGAGGCATACATGGGGTGGCTAGACGATCTAAATGGGCCATGATGACTACAGCTGTTTGTCTCAGATCAATCGCTAGCTCATTGTCCTGTGGTAAAGTCAGATACCTTAGAAAACTTTCATTTGGACTCAGAGGGTACGTCAGGAGCTAGAAAAGAAAAAAGAGCAGTCAGAAGACTATTCAAGGTATCTCTATGCCACTGCACATAGAGCAACATAACGTACTTCAGACACACTGAGTATCTGCACAAGTTTAAGAGAAATTAACTCTGCATGTCCTTTTTCTTACAGTGGAGGAAAATTCCACACTTGTTGAGAAAATATAGTCAGATTGTGAATATAATTGAAAGTTTGAAGTATAATAAAACCAATTTACTATGCTTTATCAATGTCACGAATATTCACTAAGAGTCATAGTTCAATTAACATCAAACACAACTAAGTAAGAACAATCCAAATATGCAGAATAGTTAACTGGATGCATCTCTAAGTTATTTATCACAAAAGCATTAATTCTGAAACACAGTGCTTACCTCTGATCATACTATGAATTTCCTCCTACCTCAAGAAACTCAAATGTATGCATGAAAACCAAACACCACTGGCATATATACATCTTACAGGGAAAATACTACTCCAAATTTTGTTTGGATGGTTTTGTAACTATTTAGCCAGTCAAATGAAATTTGATACCAACATAATGCCCCTTTCAAATAATCCAAGGGTTAAGTACCTGAATCTCTTCCTCAGTACTGGGCATGTCTTTATTACATAGGATACTCTGAAATCTTTGTAGCAAAGGTAGAAGGGGTGCACTTGTTCCCTGTGCAGATCGCTCATTATCTGTTTCCCTCGTTCCATTATCCCAAAGTTGAAGCAACAACATAACAGCAGACAACATTTGGCTGAAAGAGAAAGTTTTCATCTTCTATTAAAATGCATTCCTATAAACATTATTTTTGTTTGCTCATACAGTACACTTTCTATATTTTGAGCAGTATCAGATGTCACAGCTTTCCATTTTACACTGACTGTCAAAATACCAAAAATGGATTTTGCAGTCTAGCTAATGTAAGATCCTGACTGGCACTACATTACAGTAAAGACTTGTATACCTTGAACCACAATGATTATGCTAAACCCACATGCATGAGAACTGAAGACAGGCACTGCTCAGGATATTCCAACAGACAGTGATGGTTATAAACCAGCATCACACTTCTCACCTTAGCGTTCCCCTCTGCACTGCCAGTTCCAGCAGTATGGCAAGCGCCAAGTGCTGGTCTTGTAACGGAATGTTTCCTGGCCCTTTGGTACTGGGAGCTCCGTGCACATCTCTATTTAAAAGTCAGACAATATACATTAACTATGAAGCAACTGGAAGCAACACCTCTTTGCTTAACAAAAGCACCTACAACAAACCAAGAACCACTAAGCTGACAGAAAAATACAAAATTAGCGATAAAAGCAGCTAAGAAAAGCTGGCACGTTCCACATAAGAAGATGGTAGCGAGGCTTTAAAAATGTCTCAGGCTTCACTATCTACTCTGTATCTATTAAACATGCCAAGAACAGGAAACCATTTTTTCACAGGTGAAAAGCAAATATTCTTTATGATATTCACTATAAGAATGTAGTTCCAGTATTCGAAAGACAATTTCTGGTAACTATTGCAGAAGGGTAACTTTAAGGCTCCTTAGATAACAGCAAAAAGCAGGGGAGTGTATTAAGCCCAGTATGAGTATATTTCTCCTCATATGCAATGAAGTCTGCATTATTTTACTATCCTAGAAAGGCACAACTAAGTGTCCACATAGATTGTATCACCAAAGCACTCTTCATACGGATACAGCTTACATTACTGGAATGCTACTTTTGAGTTAAGTCTGCATGCAGTGACTTAGAATACTCAAATTCAAATTTTTTTCCTGAAGCAGTTAAAGGAATTAAATAATAGTTAAAGAGCATAATTCTAACAGTTCATGGTTTTGTTTTTTTTTTCCTTGCTCATATAACAACATTAGAAAAGGAAAGCAATCTTTTTAATTTTCTGTAAACTGTTATGTTTATACCATCAGCTGCTAAGAGATGCACATTTGCCATTTAACAGCTTCAGCAATGCTTCAAAAAAGAAACTTACCCAGTTACAACAGACCTTAGGAATTTAGTAGCTCTTTCAACCACTTCCAGCCATACTGAAGATACAGTCCCTTCATCAAAAAGGGATGCCTCTGGTAGAGCTCGTAGTGCATCAAGTGATTCTTGTAACAGTTCACTGCACAGGTCTGCATCTTCACCTGAGGAACACAGCAACATCAGTTACACTCCCATCTTCACAGAAGTTATACAGATTTTTGCACACATTTTTTTTAAACCTCAAGCTTAGAAGTTACTTAATAATATGTAAAAAGTTTTCAATTTTTACATCAACGTTTTGACTGCAAGACTTCTGAAGAACTATCTGCTTCACAGAAAACACATTCAAAAAGGTGACAACTCTTAAACCAGCTCATCCCACTATGCATCTGCTGAGGAAATAAGAACTGGGGCTGGCTGGCTGAAGAGAGAGCCAAACAGCTGCCATCTGAACAAAGAGGTTAAAGGTTAAAGCAGCACAAATGACAATTGTGCCAACATTTGCAATTTGACAACTGCTGACAAGCACACAAACTAAACACAATTTTCACACGACTGCTCCAAACTCCTTTTCTAAGCTGTTACCATCATGTAGTAACACAGTGGATCATCCCTGCCTGAAAAACAAATCTAACTCTTCTGAAACCCAGTATCAAAAATATCTTCTCTTCCCGAAATCCCCATTTGCCTTCCTGAGCATAGAAGTACCCCAGCACAACACAGCATTGCTACTGGCTTGGGTGGCTTCCATCAGCAGCACTCTGGTTGAGCATAATACCACATACACGTAACACATAACTATACAAATCTAACATTTATAAATGTATAGTTCTATGATAATACTGAATATACTTCAATGAATCAGCTGTTTTCTAATGAAAAATAGATGCCATGTGATACAGGCAGACCTACCTGACCTCCAGGCTCTACGGAGGAACGCAAACGCAAATGAAAGTGCTGCTCGGGATCCGACTCGTGCAAGTCCTTCTACACCTTTGCCTACAGGTCTTGGGCTAAATAAAATTATTATATAAACAGTATTGATACAGTGCATATAAAATGATTTATACAGTAATTATTTGTATAACTTGTATATTCCACAATTTTATAATTGAGCTACAGGCATGCACATATCTTAACACAGTTTTTATTTGTAAAAAATTGAAATTTTCTCTTCCAAATGAGATTTTGATGTTGATCAGTTTCAACAAACAAAATTCAACTTCAGCTGCTTCAAAGAACAACCAATTCAACACTCAATATCAAAACGTTTCAAAGAAAAAAAAAAATCACACCGGGATAACTGACTGCCATCAGAAAGATGCCTATAGTTACTCAGCACAAAATTATGATGGTGTATTCAAAACACACAGATGTAAGATGCTTCATGTACTCATTATTTACTCAGGAAGTAATTTGGGCTGCATAAACTATGGTTATAGGCTTTTTTTTTTTTAACGAATCTTCAATTACTGATAATTAATTCCATCAGTTTTGTCATTTCTTATCTTTCCATTCAAGTATCAGTATTCTGAATCTCTTTGCGGCTTCTGTATTGATGTATGTAAGGAAGAAAGATAACCTGAATTTTTGGTAATACCCACTGGACACATATACACATCTGTTAACTTTTTATGCAAAAAATCACATTAAGTAAGCTGTCCTTTGTACTTGACAACAGGAGATTTCCTACTGCTTCATTTCAGAAAGACACCAACAATCCTGTTTTCTTTTTAATCTCACATCAAAAGGAAGTGAACTGCTTAGGAGTTTTTCAAGAGAAAAAAATTTAAACTGGCATTTTTAGCAATCTGATAATTTAAATATACCAGTGCTCTTTTTAATCAGAACTGAAAAAAAATTCCAAAAGGACAGTTCAGAGAAAGGTACCATTGTCAGGAGTCCAGTTCCACAATAACTAGTCATGATATCTACTTACTGTCTCCTTTCATTTTTGAAGCTAGAGACAACCTAACATACGAATTTCCCTGGCTGAATTGCTTGTTCTGTCTGACAGCAACCTTATTCAGCTACTGAATAGCTTCTTTAATGCCTCCTCTGATAGATTTTTCTATTTTTAGGACAATAAGCCATCTAGACACAAAAAGTAATCAGGCAATTTCTTATTCAGTTAGCTCTCTGGAAACAATTTCACATAAAATGTACAATTACAGTATTTCTCACCCAAGCTAATTAAAACCATGTTCAACTTTTATGTATTTGTATTTAAATTTGTTACATGTCCTAATTGAACAAATATTGACAAAAATATATTAATCTTATTAAAACTATGTAAGCTCCATCAGCATAATTTCTGAAAGATGCTTCTCCGTAGTGTCTAGCTGAGTAGAACAAAAGGAATATCTCAACAGAAGTATACTTATAGTTCAAAGAATACTATCTACAGCAATGAATTATAATAAAAACCCACCAGTATGAACAGACACTATAAGCAAACATCAGCCAAGGAGGAAAACTGCATGGAAGATACCACCACAAAAAAACCATCTTAATAAATAAGAGTTTCTTCACTGCTCTGTGTTGTGGTGAGCAGAGCCCGCCCTAGGCAGGGATCGGCGTGCGGAAGATCTGGCGATGTAACGGAAAGCTCAGGCTGCCCACGAGGGGCCTTGTGGGCGTGGCTTGTCATATATAAGGAATTGCAACGACGCAATAAGCGCCGTTTGCAGCATCCTTCACATTGAAGCCTGTGTCTGTGATGGTACCCAACGGTAGAGGTTGGGTGACAGCTATCCTGGGGATCGGGTGTCGGTAACGACAGCTCTGTTTCACAAGGCCGAAGAAATCACAATAAGCTCTCTCACACAGGTCGATAACCTTTCTATGACTTTCCTAATGTATTAACTTGTTCATGCATGTCTTGTTACCTTTTCTTATCCACAGCAGGCAGAGGAATACTAGTGCTTTTCCACTTCACTTTGATATTCTCCTGAAGAACTGTTCTGTTCAAGGCAATGAAATATCGTTCCAGGATAACTAGCCTCTGCTTTAACCTCATAGCTGAAAGAGCTGTTGTAGCAGTTTGTGTGGCCAGAGTTTGCTGTTCCTTCACTAGCACATGAAGGCACTCCTTCAATTCGTTCACATCTAGGAATCAGAGAAAGAGAGCATGTTATAGGTGTTCACCTTTTCTCACCTACAGTAAGAAGAAAAATCACGACAAACTGAAAACTGTGAACTGACCAGAAGTCTGAACCTTAAAACCCAGTGAAACTCCCTGTCTCTATATTTAATGTACACATTTCTAATCCACGGTATTACATAGCCACAATCACACTTAAGAGGTGTTTAGAAGGAGTTATCATCAAAACTGGGTTTCTGTGAACACACTTGAACCATCATATTGCATGTCTGAAATTAAAACATCAAAGGAAATATTTAGGTGTTTCAAAAAAACAAGTTAGACAACAAACTCTTATCATCATGTGACCTCAGTCAGACTTCTCTTCAGTGCAAGCAACGATTTTTCAAGCCCCTACAAGGATATCCTTTCATTTTGCACTGATACACATCACCTTAAGTTTCTCAGAAGTTACAAAACTACTCTTAGAAGTTGTAGGATCTAGAGCTGCTAAACTTCTGAAACAAATAAAGCCAAAAATTCAAGATGCTTTCAGGTACTATTAGCAAATGAAAGATCTGATTTATGTACCAACATTACAGAATTAATTCTTCCCTAACCAACCCAAAGTCCTAGTAACCTAATAATAGATGGCAAAAAGTACAATGTCCAAAAAACAAATAAATAACAACAAAAAGAACAAACAACAGACACATAACACTTTAAAATAACAATCTGGAAATAGCGTATTTTTACATTCTCTGTAGCTTTAATTCCTAGGACAAATATCAAGGAAGTGTTCATAGAAGGTTTCTGTTCTGTCTCATTAACAGGCTGATCACTGGGCCACCCCACACTGCTCTGCACTGAATTACTGTACTTGTCCCTGAGCCAACCACATTTGTTGCCTGGCTGCTACACAGAAGTACCTTTGTTTTAACTGACACCTGACTAAGGGTTATGAAAAAAACATATGTCTGCATTATGTAACAGCGTTTGTGAGAAGAGGGACACAATATTAAAAAAAGAAAAAATAAAACCTTAAAAAAAGCCCAAACAAACAAAACACCACACATAAAACCAACACATTTTTAGGAATAGCTGCCTGTAAGCTATAGAAACTTAGACACACTTATGGTAGTCTCTACAGCTGAAAATTGCATCTAAGGAGGTATAACTTTTTTGGCAACTATAACTGCGTAAGGTATTTCAAAGTTTTGCCCCTACTCTGCAATACATCTCTGCATACCCAGCAGAGAATCCAAGTGGCCTGCCCTGTGACCAGATTGCAATGCACAGTCACTCAGAATCGTTGTCAGCCATCACCCCAGCCTGTTCTCAACATTGCTACTCACATTTCACCATTTCGTAACACATTAGATTCCTTTCCCTTAGGCAATTTACATCTTTCCACCTGACTGTGAGGAACAACTTATTTTTTCAGTGTGTAAGAATAAAAAATTGATCCCTTGCAGTCTGGATCGTAAAAGAAATTAGCACTTATTACACACATTCATATTGCTGATTCAAGCAACAAGAAATATGACAAAAAAGCCCTACCATCCTTAATATTGGCCCTACAAAATTCCCCAAAGAACTCTATAGCACAGTCAAATACCAACAGGTTATGTACATACAGCTACTTCGGATCACCATGTAAAGTAACACATAAATAAAACATACATCTGCCAAAGGCATGTTTGATTTGCTTGCTTTGGGTTTTATAATGTCCCGTAACATTGTGGCCTTATAGAAGTTTACTTAGAAAGTTTAATGGATGGCTCTATCAGTAACAAGTCTAAAGCTTCTGTATTATGTCCAGGTTGATTCAACTAAAATTTTGCTTCACTAAATACCACAATTTTGAGAGGAAAAATCTCAGGTTGTTAAGTGTTAGCATTATTCAGAACATCAAAGTAAAACCTTCCACAAACTACAAAGCCCACTGTTCTGTGGCTGCTGCTGTTACCTTAGGTGTGCCTTAACCTTTATTTTGTAAGCAAAAAATACAAAAAAAAAAAAAAAAAAAAAAAAAACAAAAAAAAACACTTTTAAACAAACACAAAAGCACATAGTTTTTGTACTTCCGAGTATGGTAACAGAACATGGTCAATACTGACATGACACTTTCATGATCCCTCTAAACAAACCCTAAGAGATAAAAATCAAGATTTTTTTTCTGCCTCTCCTGAAGGTAATAATCCTATCAACCTCTAAATACCACCAGGATACACCAATAAGGTAAGAAATGACAACACTTTCTTCTTCATAAAGAGGCTTTTCTTAACATAGTTCTTTTTGACTAGTAATTCATTCCCCACACTATGCATCATGCATCTCCAGGAAAAGTAAGGCAACAGTCAATGAAGAAAGAACAAGGCACTTCAATTAAAACTTAGTATTTAGGGAAGACAGAGTCTGTGGTGCTATAGAAATCAAGCATTAAGTACCAGACTCAGCAGTCTATAAAGTAATATAAAGCTATAGCATTTATCATTCCTTCCTGGCTAGCAACTTATCTAAATGTGGACACCTTCTACAATTACTCCTGAAAGCTGAAGAACTAGATGACAAATCATTTCAAAATAACACACTCATTAAACATGTCATGGGGACTACTGGAAAGAAACGTCCTGGAGCAATTACTTCACAAGGAACTTTCCCTTAAAATCTACAACTGCAGACCTTCAAAGCAGCTTGAATCAACCACTGTACTGCTGTTATCAGCATCCCAGCCACTCTGATGGGATAGCTGACACAAACTACTGTATGAACTCTGAATGCACAGAAGACAGAATCCTACGGAAGCACACACAACACATGCACATCAAGCAGCACCAGTTTTAAAGCCATCCATCGTATACACCCACAATATTGTGTCTCTGCAGAAAAAAGTAGTTTCATAGGAATTAATTTTCTAAGTGCTGTTAATTATTCAGCAATATGTACTGAGGGTAACCTGTAAGAGACTCAACATTCTACTCAATGATCTGATAGGATAAGTGGCTCACTTTGAGAAAAAAAAAAAATAACATTACTGTTCTCTTTTAATACAAAAACCACCCATAGTTCAATGAGCTGTGCAATGTTTCACAAAACAAATCCTCAGAACAGTGCTTTCTAAAGTAAGGGATTTTAAAAGTCAGATATTTTGCTTTCCTGTCAATGAGGTCAGCATCAACAAATAAAGTAATACAACACAAAAGCTAGAAAAGGAATAAACTAGAATTTGGTCTTCACTTTTTATGAAGAAAAAGGGCCTGAAAGAATTCAGATTTCAAGTGATTAGCCCTAATATCACTAAGTCTTTATATTCAGAAACTAGTAATAGAAAGAACTCATCAGCTATAATATATTATTAAAACTTGGCATGCAAACACATTTTATTACTAATGGACAATATGATTTAGCCTCATCAAGATTCAAACCACATTAAAATAACCTGCATGAAGCATAAACTAAAGTTTATTGGATTTGGTTGGCTGTGGCTTTAAACTGAAAGAGAGTAGATTCAGATTAGATAAAAGGAAGAAATTCTTCACTGTGGGAGTGCTGGGACACTGGAACAGTTTGCCCACAGAAGTTGTGGATGCCTCATCCCTGCAAGTGTTCAAGGCCAGGTTGGATGGGGCTTTGAGCAACCTGGTCTAGTGGAAGGTGTCCCTGCCCATGGCAGTGGGGTTGGAACTAGATGATCTCTAAGATCCCTTCCAAACCAAACCACTGTATGAGTGTATGAAAGTTCGTTTCTCTTCCCCTTTCTCACCTTGCCTTCAGAATCTCAAATTCTACAATTTTAGGAAGGCTTTCTAGCAAAATCAAATAATTCCACTCTTAAATAGTTCATACATACTTCTTTCAAGAATGCACAAGAAAGTTGACATGCAAAGTGTAGTAAAGGCTAGAACAGGTTATACTAGTCCTATAACTCAGACATCTCAAAACTGAATCAAGGACTGTCTTGTTTTATTAAAAGTAACACTATTTTAGGTGAGGTATAGCTATACACTTCCTCAACTTCAATCTTCTTCTAATACATAAGTAAATTTATCATTAAAAAAGTACAGTTCATCTTTAGAAAGATTTAAATACATCTGGTAATCAACCCAGTGAAACTGGTTTCTATAAAGCCTCAGGCCTGAACAACACTTATTACCGATGAAATAAACAGACTAATGAGAGAATAGCTTATTAATAGCAACGATTCAAATTTCATCTGAGAAGGTTACACGGAACTCTCTAAACAAAACTGTTCCTATGTCACTATGCCAGCCCTGATGCTAACCACCCCTTGCAATGCTTTGCTTTGTTTTATGAAGGGTGGGCACACATTGTAGGTACGGATTAGGTAAATCATGTAAAAGTTTAAGTCATATCATACAAGTTTAAATTCTCAAACTATCATTGGCAGAGTACTTGTTAGCTGACAACTACAGTCAGGTATGTGTCTGGCTGCAATAGAGACAGGTAAGGATTTCACCATATTCTGTTAAAATTTATCACACCTCTTCCTTCCCTCAGCAACTAACATAACTACATGTCTTTGCTTCTTAATTCATCCTGCCAGAAGTTCCCTGCATTAGAAGGAAGAATACCAGTAGTGTTTAACCCAGGTCATTTGAGAGAACAGAGTTAATAAGTGACACATTATTTAAGCACGCCAGCACAGCTGGGATGGGCAAAACAAGCTGCTGAAGACAGTAGCTTCTTAAACCATCTCAGCCACAGCCAGAACACTAACCTGACATGAGTCTAAGGCAGGTAGCCTGTCCAAAGGCATGTTTACTCCTGCCTTAGCAGCTCAAAAAAAACCACAAACACACACATTAAACAAAAACAAAACAAAAACACACCACCACAACAACAGCCCCCACTCTAAGTGGTTTCTTAATATTTATTTCATTAGTTCTTTTAGGGAACACCATAGGCTTTTAAGTGGTAAATTAAGGACCTTAAAAATGCCAGTATCAAACCGAAAAGTTCCGAGGACTTTGGTTGAGTCACATGCTTTAGTAAAGGCAAACAT